CTGGCACAGGGGAGGGATGGGGGTATCTCCCCTGGAACGTGCCTGGTTTTTGGGAAGACTCTGGCAGAGGAGCATCACGGAGGGTATGCAGCCCCGGAGGCAGAGACAGAATCAGCACCGCTCCTCCTTCGCCAGCACCCTCTGTGCCAGGCACGTGCCGCTCGCCTGGTGGTTTCCAGATGAATCCATCACTGAGGACGTGGTTGGCTGATGACACAGGATGGTGGGAGCCAGCGAGGCCAGGGGGTGCCTGGCCAGTGGAGAGTCCTCCTGGGGTACTGGGGAGCACGAGTCACCCTGGGCATCGGCAGTGCCGCAGCTCTGCTCCGCCTGTCCCAGCTACTTCCCTCCTGGCAGCCACCAGCACCCAAGAGAGGAAAATTTTGAAAGAAAAAAAACAAGGAAAGCAAATGGGAGGACTGGAAATCCTGTCAGCCCCACAGTGCAGATGTGGCAGCAGCACAAGTAACCGCAAGGCTGGTGGGGCTGGGTGCAGCGCTACCTCCACAGCTTCCCCTTTTTGGCCCTATTTTTCTCCGCACCTGGAAAGGCATCTTCTTCCCCAGCCCCTAGCACAAGGACAAGGCCTGCACAGGGTGGGTTTTGCCTGGGAGATAGGAAGCAACGGGTGCAAGCTGGTGGTGGGAGCTGGTGGCAGTGGTGGTGGCACCAGCGGTGGCTGTGGCACTACCCTGAGGCTAATGAGGAATGGGAATAAGGTGCTTTTCCTACCTAAATAAATAAATACATGAAGAAACCAGGTGCCTCTCTCTTACGCAAACCTCAGCACTCACCCCCTCCATGAAGACTGGGGTCTGAGTGCATCGAGGGCCACCCCTGCTGCCCCTCAAGGGCCTTTGTAATCCCAGAGACCCCCAGTAGTGTTGGCTCCCCACCTCTGTGGGCACTGGGGTAGTACTGGGGTGCCAGGGAGGGGGATGGAAGGGCTGCTTCTGAGGCAGTGGGGGCCCAGGGGCTGGTCTAAGCCTTTGGCAGTATCCAGGAGTGGGGTCAGCTCCCTTGGTGGGCAACTGGGTGGCACCTGGGATGGGATGACCCCCCCAATGCTACCACTGGTTTCTGCCATCCCCAACAGTTCTGGCCCACTCCAGACCCCTTCAGTGCGTTGCTGGCTCAGGAAGGGATTCCCTGGGAAGACTCAGCTGCTGTTTACCTTGGCCCTCACATTTCCCCCCCAAAACCCCCAAATGGCATGTGCCAGGCAGTGGGATACCCAGCTCTCTGCCTGGCCCACCCAGCCCCAGTCCCTTCTAACCCAAAACAGTCTAGGATTTTGGCAGAAGCATAGATAAGTTGCACCTACACAATTATACATAGAAATACACATAAAATGAACACATATATAATTATACAAATATATAAACACCCAGCTCCTCATGTTGAGGAAAAAATAATTCCATATGTTTCCTGGGACCGTGGGCTGATGGGCTCTTCTGGGATGAAGTGTGACATTCCCCTCTGTGTATTCTGGATGGGCACAAATGGATGCTCAGGCCTTCTTGTACAGTATTTAATAGTATCCAAACTTTATTATTCTGCTCATCTCCTCCAGGCAAGCAAAAATACAGGCAATGGGTTAAACAGCAGGATTGTTCTGAGAAGTGTGGATGGGCTTTGATGGTGCAGCTCTAGCTCTGTGCATCATGGGGCTGCTGCAACCCCAAACCTGCTTTCCCTGGCTCCCCACAGCAGCATCCTGGATTTCCTCTGCCCTGGGCACATCTGCAGCACCTGGCAAGAGTGGAGAGCCAACCATGGGTGACAGCCCAAGAAATGGAGACTGATCCCTTTTCCTGAAGGATGGAAGGTGGTGATGGTACCAGGATGCCACTACAGCAAGGAGTACTTATCTTTGTTACAGCAAACTGGTTCAGAGTTTTGAGCTCAAACCCAAGAGAATCCTTCTGATGCCCTAAGCAAAAATTGGACTGTTTCCCAACCTTTCTGGTTTTATGAGTGTTTTAATCCTTCCCTTCTCTGACACTACTGTTTAGGCAGCAAAGATCTCTCACTGCAGTTGCCTGCTTAAAGTAACAGGCTAATTCATAGTTGATTGTAAATAGACACAGTGGCACTGTTATCTGCAGGTGAAGCTCTCCTCCTGCATGCCAATCCCTGTGTTTCATCTCCCTGCTTTCCCAGACCTCTGGTAACACCTACAAGAGCCTGTGAAGCTGTAAGGGAAAAGGCACAGGGAAAACTTAACACCCAAGGTTATTCCGTGCTCAGAATTTGCACCCTACCTCTGCCACACTCCTGATGGAGACAGAGGAGGATAAAACTCCAACAGTCAATGCCAAGGTGGGACACACACACACTCACCTGGTGTGAAACCACACCAGCATTTATTTCTATGTTTATCTATTTATAAAAGCTCGAATCAGCTTCATCACACTTCCTCTGCATGATCCCAACCCTGGACAGTGCCCAGGGAGCTCTGGCACACAGACTGAAGTGATTCCTGAGGTACATGCTACTTCCTTCTGCAGGCTCTCGCTCACACACTCTGCATTGGCCACACAGCTCCTCACAGCAAAGGCAATTACAGCATCCTTTCAATCACGGGGAAGCCAAGCACACACGGGAGGGTGTGGTGTGTCCTGGTCCTCAGCTGCATCATTCTCTTTCAGTGCAGGAATCTGGAGGACACAATTAGGTGTTCTTCAGGTAACAGTGCCTGAATTTACCTTCATCAGATGAAACAGCATCTGATACTCCCTGACCACATCCAGATTGGAAAGCCAAAGGCAGATTTCTTTTAAAAAAAAATCTCCCTTTCAATAAAGTTTCACAGAAATATATAATAT